TCATAGATACCTGGTAGAGTTTCCAAGGCCGTAATCTTTATGGAAGCAGACTGCCACATCTTTATTCCACAGAGCAATTGGTAGGTTCAAAGTGCTGCCCTTTCAGTTGGCAACTCAGTGCTTAATAACTGCACCACCAGGCTCATCGTCATTAGGAAAATGCAAACTAAAGCTACAATGAGATAACACTACCCACAAGAAGGGCAAAAATGAAAAAGCCTGACACAAAATATTGAAGAAAATGTGGAGCAATTAGAATCCCACCCATTGCTGATGGGTGTGTAAAAGGCTACAAACACTTTGGAAACTGGCAGTTTCTTAAAATGTCAGAGTTACAATGACCTATGACCTAATAATTCCACTCTTAGATATATATCCAAGTGAAATAAAAATATGTATCCATATAAGGACCCATATATGAATATTCAAAGAAGCTTTATTCATAATAACCCCAAAATTGTAAATAATATAGACACTCAACAGTAGGAGAAAAGATAATCAAACTGTGGAATATTCATACAAAGGAATACTACTCAACAATAAAAGGGATGTACAACTGATAAACATGATATGAGTGAATCTCAAAAATACTATGCTGAGAGAAAGAAGACACAGAAAAGTACATGCTATACTGTATAACTTAAATTTCAGAATAGGCAAAACTAATTTAGTGGTGACAAAAATCAGATCAGTGGTTGCTGCTTGTGGCAGTGGACTGGGAAAATTGATTGGGAAGTGCCAGAAAGGAATTTTCTGAGGTTATAGAAGTTCTGTGTTTTGATCTGCATTAGACTGATTGAAGAGTACACTTAAAATCTGAGCACTTTATGGTATTTAATTATGTGTCAATTAAGAAAAGAGAAAACATTATAGCAAGAAAAAAATAGCCTTTAAGGGATAAATACAATTATGTAAACACTACTAAAATATACATGAGCTACATTGTAATTAGAGAACTGATCAAAATAATTATTTAATTATTAGTACCTAGGAAGAAAACTAGAAGAGCACTGGTGGTGCACTGGTTAAAAATCTTGGTTGCTAACCCAAACTTTCAGGGGTTTGAACCCACCAGCTGCTCCATAGGAGAAAGATGTGGGAGTCTGCTCTGTAAAGATTACAGCCTTAGAAACCATGTCAGGAAGTTCTCCCTTGTGCTATACAGTGGCTATGAGTTGGACTCAAGTAGATGGCAATGTGCTTTGAGGAAGAACACTTGAGTTGTTCAGACATGGAGCTCAAAATGGCTGAAGGCTGCATCAGAGAATATTAAAAAATGTACAAAAACAGTAGAGTAAAATGGAACAGAGTGGATGGGGTGCTGAGAAAATGCAGATGGAAGCAGAACTCTGAGACAGAGGGAATGGTCTTAAGGTAGAGACAGGATATAATGAGTTCTGCAAGGCTGGGGTTGCACATCACTCAGGAGGGAGCCCAGATATGGATCTTTGTTTTTAATTTTTTAAAGCTAAAAATCTTTTTTTTTCTTCTTCTTAAAGCAGAGGTTTTTCCCTTTCCTACTGAAGGTGGTCATTCTATTCCTACTAACCTAGGTCCCATTTCCCAGGAAAATCGTCACTGAACCAATGGAACATACATATTATACTAACATCATTTCCCTTACCGATTGTGAATGAAGTGAAGTAATTCATGCTATAGAAACATGCTCTAGCAGACTGTGCCTACTATGGCCAAACACTAACCACTATTTTGCATTTATGTTATTTATAAGTGACAACTGCATTTCATGAAAGAGGATACTGAGGCTGAGAGGCAAAATGATTTGCCCAACTTCACCCAGCTACTCTTCAGTAGACTTGGAATCTGAAAACAGACTTAACTTCAAAGCCCATGCTTTTAATCATTATGCTAAACCACTTCCTAGGTTATTTTATCCATACCTGCATTTTCATTTGGAGAATCTTAGTTTTCCATCCCATCAAAGTTGTTGAGCAAGCTATATTGTTTGGCCTTGGTTTTCTCTTTGGTTCTCACTCCAACACCTTCCATCTTTAAGTGTCTGAATGTCCTGGATTTATTTTCCTTGGCTCATTTCCCTCATGTGTACTGACTACCCAGGACATACATCTGTCATCTTGCATCCATCCATCTTAGAAGCCTTAAAGCTGTTATATTCTATGCTCTCCAAGCTCAGGACAGCAAGCTGGAAGAATTTCTAGGGAAATCATCTAGGAGAAAGTCTTCTTTAAATTATGAAGTTCATGTGAAGTTTATATGAAGTTCATAGCATAATATGTTCAAATAAGAGATTATGATATGGGTATACACAGGGGCTTTTCAGGATCTCTGCTCCAAGGAAACATTTTTGTCTCTAAAAGTAACTGCCCCACTGTCTATTAAATGAGTGACTCAATGAAGACTGCATGTCAGATATGGGTAAAAGATGGTGAAGAGTAAAGGGGTGATAGTTTGGGTTAGATGAATTAGTCTAATTGCCTATACATAAAATACCCTAATCTGTTGTATGTATACCCTAGATGTAAGAACCTCTGCCCCTCCCTTTTTTTAAAGCAAACATGTATTTACACATGTTTATATATATAATACTGTCTATATTATACTTAGGTAAACAAAGTTAAAAAGCAGAAGAAAACAAATATATAAGTAACCATTCAAGCAATTTAACAAACAGTTCTAATGACACATTTGATGGAGGCAACCATGTACACTAATTACCTCATAAATTATTCTGGTCCTAAGGGCCATTGAAAACTAGAGCAATATTATTAATTCAAACTTAAGTTCAGCATTTCTAAGGAAATGTCATAAACAATTTCCTAATTTCAGTTTGTGAACATTGTCGTTGACCTGAACATTTGGACAGAACAGCTGTTCAATTGGCTGGTGAACATTTCTTGGATCAGAAGGCAATTGCCTTAAACACTTAATGAATTTATTAAGCTAACCAGAGAGTTCCAGGAGTACTAAATGGATTTAAATATTTTTGCTTTCTGTCCCAGGATTCAAATGTCTGACTCAGAATTCAAACAGCATGGGCTGGCGGTGGTCATAGTAGAATGTGTGAATGTGCTTGTGTGATAACTGTCCTACCTCACTGATACTTATTTGTCATCTATCTGGAAGATTTACTTTAGAGAATATTTTGAAAATATACGCTATCTAAATTTCCTTCATCTCCCAAATGATTACCAAGAACATTATAAAAATGACTTTCATAAACAAATGGTCTTAAGAACAAAATCCTGACATTTATGACCTCATTGGGCAGCAGAAGAGACAAATAAGGACTGGCTTTCATAAAGCCATGAAGGTTGTGAGCAACTCAAGACGGAAAGGAAGTGTTCACTCTAATTTCTCCAGATAGGAAAAAACAAAAAAAAAATACATGCATTTAACCCAGGAGAACTTTCATATGCTGCTTTGAATATCGTTTGGACTAACTGTCCTCTGAAGATAAACTAGGAAGACAAAAGCGAGATAATAATACCAAGAATGTACATTTTGGAATAAGTTACAGAAGTTGATTCTTCTAAGAAGGTATTACAAGGAAGTCATGAGAGGAAAAGAAGAGATAATTTCCTGTAGTTTATAAAACTATGGAGAATAAGATTGATTTGATGGAAAGATAAATATGATTAGATGAAAAATTAGTCTTCTAAGCACACTCTAAAGCAGACACACCTTAAACCAAATTTGGAGTGCTTGCAATATTGCCTTATTACTCACATCTCCAATGCCCTTTTAGCAATAATAAAATAGCATATTGTTGTTGTTATGTGCCGTCGAGTCGGCCCCAACTCATAGTGACCCCTCCTTGGGTTTCCAAGGCAGTATCACTACAGAAGTAGATTGCCCAACCTTCCTTCCGAGGAGTGGCTGGTAGGTTTGAACCTCCAGCCTTCTGGTTAGCAGTCAAATGCCTTAGGCACTACACTACCAGAGCTCCCAGCATATAGATTATGTAATTTAAAATACGCCTTATTTTGTCTGACAGAGTCAATACAAATAAACTGATACCAAGAATTATGGAAAACTGACAAGTTCTACAAAGTTTAAAAATAATAACTTAAAAAAGTTGTAAGATCAAAGTTGCTATTTTAGAACTGGACAATTTCTTAAACTCTTAAGCAGTATTCTCAGATGATATTAGAAAGGGTACAATAAATCCAAACCAAACACTGGTCTAACAATTTTCATCTCTGGCTTGCCTTGAGCTTGTCATTATTTGTCTGTATTACTCCAACCAATACCTTTCTATAAAAAGAAACTTTATATTGCTAAAGCATGAAGCAGGCTGAGGAAAGCTGTTGTTTGATAAAGGTCAAATAAAGAAAATAAGTTTTCTTTTTTACCATACTATGTTTCTGGAGTAAAACAGGTTTGTAAATAATCTGACATCTGTAATTTGATAATGTTTTCTCATATAAGTCCTTAGTAATGCTTATCATGTCATGTACTTTTAGGGAAAACATTTCCACATTTTAAAAGTACAAAATATATTTAAAGGACACATTGAAATCCAAAAAGGATTTTCACATGTATTTAATATTTTGATACACACATAATTAATAATTATTTTGTTCAATTTCCTGAAATTACTACTAAAGGAAAAAAGACGGGGCTAGGCCTTCTTGACTATGGTATCTATACAGTCTAGCTAATAAAATCAGAGTGGAATATATAAACCATTTGTACATTCAAATATCCCATGTACATAAGATTTCCTCCTTGTTTACTTCAGAGCTATTGAAAAATATTATTTAATTTTTAAAGAACTAACAGCCATAGACAAATACAGCTCATAATAAACAACAAAAAGGGAAAGTTAATGGTTAACTTAATCTACCTAGCCACTGGGCAACCTCTCTAAAGGCCCACAACACTGCCGTCTTGAACCATTTCATTGTCATAAATTTAGTAATAATACAACAGTTGTAATTTAGAAAAAATGGCTGTAGTCCTTTTGCCCCACCTCAAAGTGGAATGAATTAATATGTAAACGAATATCTGCTACTCACTTTTCAATTTTCTTGTCTTCTGCTCAAGTGTCTGGCATGTGTCCCATATCTCAGTATTTATAGCCTGGAGATTCCATTGTTCAGAAATTGCTGCCTCTAATTTATGCTGTAAAGACTTAGCTTCTTCACCGGCAGAAGGGGCTGTCCGATCTCGATCCTTAACCTAGTACATACAGTGGATGTTGGATTTTAGCAGTATGGACAGCAGAGAAAGGCTCACTCTTAATTATGCACACGAAACTGAAAATGTGCTTTTCTTCTCAGGGAAGTGATAAGCCTCTACTGAACTTCTGCAATTCTGTGTTTGCATGGGCTTTGTATGCCTGAGCTATTTCTACAGCGGTAAAAATCCTGATATGTCAAGTTGCCTCTTTCTGCAAAGTTGCCTCTTTCATCAGCAGGCTGTTGACACTGCCTCTCTTACAGCTCCCCCTTCACTTCCTCCGCTCTCTGCTAGTCAGTGGGGACTGAACTTCGCAGTTCCTCTTTTCTTACTTTTTTTTTTGTTGTTGTTCCTCCTCTATTTTTACTTCATGGTTTTAAAGACATCTGAGGAGACTTCCCCTGAATATAATGTAGTCAGGGGCCACCCTACCTGTTTCTTGGCATCCTCCAGCCATTGGCCGACTTCTTGGAGCGTCTGCCTGTGGATGGCTTCCTGATTGACTGCATCTTCTTGCAGTTGTTGAATGGTTTCTAGTTGTTTCTGCCTGGTGTTAAAACAGAAAAAAAGTTCAAACCACAAGCTGTCAGTGACATTTCAACTAAGAGTCACCCCTAGGAAATTGTGACAAATTAAAGCTTAATACAATACAGTTCTTCAAGATGAAATGAAAAAGTGAAAGTACTTACATACACATACGTGTTTCATAAAATAGAATTTTAATCAAAGTAAGCATACAGACCATTTACAGATAAGGAGATTTAGTCTCATGTTTACACGGAGATATTCAGTTTCCATCCTGATGAGACCTGAATTTCCCATAAACTATATTCAAAGTGCTTAGAGTTGGTTGCCCATTGCTTAGAGGATGGTGCTACAATGAGGTCAGGGTGGCATGTTCAATATTTACCTATCACAGCTAGGTTTTACAGAAAAATAAAGGAAAATAAAAAATTTAAAAAAAGAGGGATAAAAGAAAAGGAAAAGAAATAAGAGTTTTGTTTCATAACCTTAGCCTTTTTCTTTATGGGTTATCTATCATGGTATAAGTATGTGCCATGGGCTGGTCCAAGCACAGGAAAAGAACTGAAGCCAGCTGTGGCTATCTCTACTGCAGTCCTCCATCTTCTGAAGCTCTTCCCTTCCCCTTCTTCCTCACCCCAAATCTTTTAGTGTCCTTATGTTGTCCTTTCATTCTTACTATATGGAATGCACTCTGATATTTACATTTGGATCCAATTCTAATCCCCAAAATATGCAAAAATGCATCTACTCTTGTACCTACTGAGATTATTTAGTCTTGGTTACTCAATGATTGTCTGGAAACAATTTGACCTAAATAAGAACCTTGGCTCAAAGGGGTGATAAACCTTAGGAGTTTCAAAGTCATGAGGAAGATATTTTCAGATTTAGGCCTTTGAGAGGCCTTTCAAATGCTATCATATAGTTAGAACCACACTGTACATCAGCATAATTCCACCCCTGGTTACAAGAAGGGCCACATGAGACACAAGGATGATCTCGTAGAATACTTTATCAATGATAAACAAGCAAATCAAACTCTAAACAAAAATAAAAACTATCTAATCACCACACACATTTTACTGAACATTCTTCAGTAGCATTATATTCAGTTTTTATTCTTAAACATCAGTTCTGTCTATATCACCACTTTCCAAGGATAGCCTATTCTCACCTGTGTCCGTTTTTTTTTTTTCCAAAAGAAAGTGAAACGACCATTAGGACCATCAGAAAACCATATTTCATAATACTAAAATATTCTATCACTTATATGTATTTCCACCTATAAGAAAATAACTTTTATAGACCTTATAAATCATAACAGTTTTAGAAAAAGCTTTTTAAAAATTTAGCTAATACTATTTGTTAAAGATATTCAACAGATGTTGAAACTTTGATGATTTTTCTCCCATAAAACATGAACAGATTTTCATTATCATATTATATATATATATATATATATATATATACATATATTGGCTTTAGCTTTGTGTTTTCCATTCCAACAATTTTCCTTACTTACATGTCTCCCAGACTTTGCCATCTGCGAACAGTATCCCATTCATGTTATTTCTCAGACCGAAAGCCTCTCTAAATCTAGGATGACTTCTTTCCTGCATTTGATACATCTAATCCACTAGCATGTCAGATCTAATCTGCCCTCAAAATGTTACTTGAATCCAGTAATTTCTTAAGGCGTCCTGGTGGCTTAATAATTAATTATCCAGCTGTTAACCCAATGGTTGGCAGTTTGAACCCACCAGCTGCTCCACAGAAGAAAAAAACCTGCTCTCAAAAAGATTACAGCCTAGGAAACCCTGTTGGGTAGTTCTACTCTGTCCTCTATGGTCACTATGAATCAGAGTCAACTTGACAGCACACAACAAGAACAATCATTTCTTATAAACCCACCTATTGCCCTGGCCTGGACTATTGAAGTAGTTCTTAATTTAGTGGCTTTTTTGACTATGACTTAGTATATATTTTATATTTCAACCCAATATGCACACATGTACAAATTTATACATACAGCTGGAACAAAAATTCATGAAATATTACTTATTATTACTATATGGGATGCATTCTGATATTTTGCATTTTATTTTATTTTTTAAAAAACTGTAGGTCACAATCCAGTAAATTTTTTTTTTTTCAGGATCTCTAAATGGTAATCTACTGTTAAATAAATAAATAAACAAACAAACTCTTCTCACTGGTCTTGCTACTTTCACTCTTGCCTCTTAACAGACAATTTTCTACCTGGTAGTTAAAATGATCTTTCAAAATGCAAACCCTATCACTTCTCTGGGAGTTCTGGTGGCATAATGCCTAAGGTATTTGACTGCTAACCAGAAGGCTGGCAGTTCAAACCCACCAGCCACTCCTCGGAAGGAAGACTGGGCAATTTACGAGAATCAACTCCACCACAGTGAGTTGTTTTGTTTTGTTTTTTTAATCACTTCTCTGCTCAAAATGCTCACACTGCTTCCCATCACATCAGAATAAAATCCCAACTCCTAAACCTGAACTGCTAGGCTGCGTGTGGCCTTACCCTGCCTATTTCTCTGACCTCATCTCCTAACTAACTGCCCAGACTTACCCACTCTAGCCATGCTAGCTTCTTGCTGCTGCTCAGACAAGTTCACTATGACCCCGAGGACTTCGCTTCAGCTGTTTTCTATATTGAGACCATTCCCCAGATCATCAGATAGCCCTCACTTCATTCAAGTCTCTGTTCATCATTCGTCAGATAGATCTTTTCTGATCATTCTTACTAAAATTAGGTCCTCCTGTCCTGTGATTCTTCTTATTCTGCTTTAATCCTGTTCATATCACTTAGTAGTCCCTGAAATTATATTACATAATGTTTACCTCTTCATTATTTGTGTATCTTTCTAGATGTTAGTTACACAGAGGCAGGGATTTCTGTCTTAGTTACCACAATTCCCTTGTGCTTGGGGGAAAAAAAATGTGTGACAAGGAACAGGCCAGATGGATGTTGTATAAACGATGACTTGCTTTTCTCACCAAACCCTCTGAGCACAAGTTTTTCCTTTTATTGCCTTTACTTGATCTACTCAATTCTTTCCATTCTTCAAAGCTAGAGCCTATTTGTCTTGTACCAAGATAGAAGACTTTTCCTCAGCAAACAGCTCCTGAAAGTTTTCCTAATAGACATTTTCTACCTCATCTAAACATAGAATTACCTCTCTCAAGTCTACAAAATACTCCACTCATTTTTTTTTTAATTCATAGTTAAGTAATTTTGTGTGTTGCCTCTATATGGCTTCATCTTTTTAAAATTTTAAGTGTCTAGATGGTCTACAACCATCCTTACATTGATGAGGAGAATTTTGCCCAATACCAGGTTCCCATAATATTTTTAATGAATATTTTATCAAACGATTTTAACAAGTAGATGGTAAAAAATTAATAGTTGAAGAAACATGGCCTTTGAAAGTGGACATAGCTAGGTCTGAATTTCAGCTGTCTTTTAATCCCATCTGGTTAGCTTTGAACAACTTATTGACTCTCTCTGGAGATAAATGTATGTTGTTTTCTTAGCACTATGCCTAACACAGTAAGCTTTCAACAAATGGCAGCTACTATCGGGCAGTTCACATCCATAATGATACCGCCTCAGAAACCCAAGGAGGAGTTGCTATAGGTCATAACAATGACAACAACAACATTACTTAAGTGGTCTGCTTGTATGTCTGGTAGAAAACAGAAGATTCACTTACTCAGAGCTGACTCTACTGCAGACCTCTCTCTAAATAGTTCTTTTTTTTTTGCTAAATAGAATAATTTCAGCGGTCCTTTCTGTGGAGATGGTGCCTGTCTAAGGAAGCTGCATATCCACTTCACCTACATTTTTTACCACCATAGGGAAGTCTGGGCTCCTTGCTTCTTAAGGAAAGCAGAAGATCAAGATCAAGAAATAAAGTTTCTTCTCTGTTTTGTTTAAAATTACCATAGTCTCTATCTATACTTTTTCACTTTGTTCAAGTCAACATGCACCTATGCTTTTCATTGCTTCATTCAAGAAGCATTTCAAATGAGTGCTAAGGACAGTGCTTAAATAGTGGTCAACAAAAGATACAATTGCTGTCTTCATTTAGCATGCAGTTTACAGAGCATACAAATATCAAGATTTTCCCTGTAAGAATTATGGTGAGAGAAAGAATAACATGAGAAAATATTTTATGTTTAGAATCCTCATTTCCCTGTGATTTTGTTCACCTGAAATGTAATTGACCTAAGCTTTATGCATGGTATATTAAGAAGCGACAGGAAGCCCAGTGTGGTGGAAGTGGGAGTCAAGAGATCTGGCTCCTTGTTCTAGCTTTACTACATTCTATAATTCCAATACCTTCTCTGGAGAAAATGACTCATTATGCTGATTTCCACAGGTTTTAAAGTTCACCATTTGCAATTCTAAACACACAAGTCAATTTCACACTATTACAAAATTCAAAATTATCAGACAGAATGTCTTGCCAGAGATGGTGTCATCTGAAATCAATGTATACAATTTGAAAAGAGTCAGCTGAATGTCATGGCACAATCACAACCTTATGTACATGAAGCATGAGTTTCTTAATATAAACGATCATTACCTAGAAAGGAATTCTTTCCTGAAATGAAAATATTCTGTCTTGAATCTCTTAAAAATCTTTATCAATTTGGCAAACTCTTTATAAAAAGATTCTTTGTAGTTTCCCAAGCCATCCAGCATCAACACACAAAGATTTAGCTTTTCTTCCATATGTTTGAATTCCTACAAAGAAAGTATTCCATGGTATTAAATATAAACAAATGACAGAGGCAATATAAAATGCTGTGGCAAGGAGGGAGAAGGGGACTCACAGATTAGGGGACACTGAGCTTCTGTGAGTGGTAATGGAAAAATTGGGAAACAAACAACGGTTGAACAATATGATAAATATCATTAATGTCACTGAATTATACATGTGAAGAATGTTGAAATGGCAAATGTTTTGTTACATGTATATTTACCAAATCAAACTACTGCAGATATTCCCATCTCAATGGACTCTGGAATTATAATTGCATATATCCATTCTCAAATGTCCAGTGATCAACTATCCTTTTGGTGCATTATCTCAATTTGACAAATATTTGTTGAGTGTCTATCAATTAAGTTTTGGTCTTTTTCTTATAATAAATGGAGCACTACAGGGCTATTTCTCACCTAATGCCATCCACAGACTCTCTTTACCTTAGGGTGTTGCCATGTGTCCATGGTAACATACTTCAGATGCTCTGTACATGCTGAGTATGTATAGACAGAATAAGTCCTAGAACAAAATCTACCCATTTTCATTCCTCTTTCAAGTGGAAGAAAATGAACACTTCTATTGATTCTATTTTCTCTTTCCCTAAATATTTTACCACCCATCAGCACTTGCTTTAGAGTAAGGGAGGACAAGGAAATGGAATAAAATTAGTTATCTGTTGATAAGCATATTTAAAAGCAACTTTAAGAAAAAAAAAAGATAAACTTAATAAAGAGAATGAAATTAATATTCCAGACTTTTGAAAGTTGCTTTCTTTTTTTAGTTAATTTAGGGGTCTGATGAATTCTAGAAAGTAGTCTGGCATTTGAGCAGTAGGGATAAGTGACTAATAAAGAGAGAGGTTTCTTCTTACATGTGTCTTTTCTAACTAAACTGGGAATAATTCCCTAAGAGTTCTAGTTTTCTCAATGTTCTGTTAATTTCTGGAATAATAAAACTTTCAGCTTCTCAGAAACAAAATTCTTTTGCACAATAATCATTCTGCCAACATTAAGGAATTTTAATAGACCAATGAAAAATCCAAGATTGGGCTAGCCACTTCTCACAAAGATTCAAATTTTTTTTTTTCATTAAGTCATCTTATTGATTCTTTGTTTCTCCATCTCAAGAAATATATCCCATCACATATCCTCACACTCACTTATTTTCTCTCTTTCTTTCCTCATTCTCACACTCATACACACTGATCTAACTCTGACACTCTTATACCACATACCCACAGTCAAACATACTCCCAGATACACACTCTATACACATTATCAATTTAAGATAACAGTATGCTTGGTAAATTAGAGGGTCAACAAAAAAGAGGAAGACCCTCAACAGGATGGATTGAAACAGTGACTGCAATACTGGCCTCAAACACAGCAACGATTGTGAGGATGGCACAGGACTTGGCAGTGTTTTGTTCTGTTGTATATAGGGTTGCTATTTGGAACTGACACTATTTGCTATTGGTGGCACTTATCAACAACAACATAATAAGTATTACCTAGGTTAAGAAAGTAGAAGGAAAACCAAGCAGAACACAAACAGAATACTTACCTTAAGCTTATATTCCCACTTTTCCTTCACATTTATTTCTGGATTAGTTACCCACTGTAGAGAGTTATCAATGAGGGTTTCAACTTCAGAAACTTCATGCTGAAGAAAGAATTCCACATCTTTAACAGGAACTCAGGTGAAGTGCATATAGTATTATATAAGAAGTAATTTAGACCAAAGCCCATCGAAAATATAAAAAGTTCTACTATATATGCAACTCAAAAAGACATCAGAGAGAGCTATTTCTCACCTAATGCCATTCAGTGACTGTCTTTACCTCAGGGTGTTGCATGTGTCCATGGTAACATACTTCAGATGTTCTGTACATGCTGAGTATGTATTGACAGAATCATTTCTAGAACAAAATCTATCCATTATCATTCCTCTTTCAAATAGAAGAAAATGAGCATTTCTATTGATTCTTTTTTCATTTGTCAAACTAGATGCTACCTACTATATGCTAGGTACTGTGAAAATGACTGGAAATACCAGCATAAAAATGTAGTTCTCTGCTTTCATGGACCATCTGGAGTTTCCAATGAAAAAGGGAAAAAGAGATTCTAATCATTATCCAGAAGAAAACTAAGAGATGGTAACATCTAATAGATACTCTATCTTCTGCCTTTCAACATTAAAGATTTATCCAGAGGAAAACTAAGCTCAAGCAATCTGTAACTAATGGTCAACCTGTTAGTACAGCTTGACCCAGAACTAGAAGATTAAAAGATCAACTTCTTTTAATCTTTAAGGTTAGAGAAAGATCTTCTCTTTTCATAGTAGGACTAATTTGCATCTCAAAAACATACAGATATGGGTCATGCTCAGCATACAGGCTGTGAGTGAGCTATCAAAAGCCAATCTTAGCTAGAGTGAAACATCGCAACATGAGTATGTCAGACAATACTAGCTTCTGAAGCATAGCTGTGAATTTCACTCCCTTTTGTTCAGGTTCTCTCAGTAATATTAGCATTTCTTGGTCCATCACTGTGACCTCAGATGACAAGCTTATTAAATTGCACTCCCATTCAATTTCATTGTTCTGAAACAATTACCAAAATGCCCACAACTCTCTCATCCTAATAAAGAGCATCTATTATTTTTACTTTGTGAAGGTGATACCCATGGGTTAATGAAATTATCACCATCAAGTAGATCTAGAAAATCTTATGGAATCTTCCAACATTCTAGAAAACAAAACAAAACAAAAAAACTTTACATGTTTTCTACAGGATAGCTTCAATTGTATAGTCATTCTATCTTAAGGAAAACTCATTTATTCAACAGATACCATTTGCATCTGGGTGATATAAATTGCTATGGCTGTCATTTTAATATGGAAATAGAGGCAGTAAATATATCCACAAGAGAAAAAGAACTGTTGGGGTATTGCTGTATTAATCTCATTAAAAATTTGTCTCCCCCTCCCACATAGAGAAGACACTTTGAGTTTTTGTTTCTTAAAACACTTTTCCTATAGTCCTCTCAAGTCTCTGTCTTCTTTCATATTTTAAATATATGGCTGTTGTTGTTGTTATGTGCCATTGAGTCCGACCCAACTCATAGGGACCCCTCCTTGAGTTTCTGAGGCAGTATCACTATGGAAGTAGATTGCCCAACCTTCCTTCCAAGGAGTGGCTGGCAAATTTGCAGTGCCAGCCTTCTGGTTAGCAGTCAAGTGCCTTAGGCACTATGCTACCAGAGCTCCTAAATACACATTTTTCTTTCTTCTTGCTGCTGGGAGTCAGAGAACTATTATTTCCAGATTTCAATTAGAAGGCAAACTTCCTGATCCATACCTTTTGCCATCTAATCAGTTTCAACTCCTAGTGATCCCATGTATGTCAGAGTAGAACTGCTCCATAGGGTTTTCAGTGGCTGCTTTTTTGGAAATAGATTCCAAACCTTCCTCCTGAGACATCCCTGGGGAGATCGTACCTCCGATCTTTCAGTTAACATCTGAGTGCTTTAACCACTTGCACCACTCAGGGACTCCTGATCCACAGGTAAACCTCAGAGCCAGAACTTTGCTGGCTGATAACCCTCTGTTTGGAAGTACAGAGCTTTAGAGCCTGGCATCTTGACATCATTATTATCTCAGAGCACTTATGGTTAAAACACACTGCTGTGGCAGATTTGCCATGGTTTCATTCAGTCTGGCAATTTGGGCTGGTTTCAAAAACACAGTGAAATGATGAGTATTTCAAACAGAATGTCAGTAAAGTACAGCCCTCAGCAGTGTGTCCAAAGCTGCCTGAGACGGCTTCAGATGCAGGCAGCATATGCTGCCCCTGCATCCTTGGCAGGAGAAATTTAAACAGCATTTGCCCCAAAGACATTCTTCTTCTCCTTTCAAGGTCACATCACAGCTGTCAACATGAGGACATTCTGACTTATCTGTTGTCCACAGCCACAGGGAGATGATCAAAGTGTGAGAGGGAGCAATTTGCTAAATAAAGCATTTCCCAATATAGCCCACACAAAACTAGAAAGTACAAAGGAGTGAAAATATAGTATAGTGGTCCCAATATTTTCATCCCCCAAGAAGGCTTTTAATTGTTGCAAAGAACTGGATTTTTTAATTGATTTTTTAAAGTAATAATTCATTTTGCCATGTTTAAATTGACCAAAATCATATTAAATTGCTATTTCCATTCAGAATATAATAATCTATGTGGTTAAATTGAGTTGATACAATTGTGTCCTAATGCAAAACAACTTGATGTTGCTGCTGGCTCTCTTTATTTTCGGTAAGTACATTTACTTTGGAGGGTTGGGGAAATATGAAATAACAGCTTATGAATCTCCACTTCTATCTTCAGCACACGAGACTGGGAATCATTGCAGGTGGTCAGCCTTGAAGAGATCAAGAATACAAAGATTTCTAAGGCCCACTTCACTGAAGACACACTCTCACAAGTCTCTACCTGAGCTCCCCTGTAGCTGTTAGCCATAACTTGAAAAAGGACCTTTTGCCAGCTCAGCGTCTTCAGACTTGGATTCTAAGAACTATCAACAGACATCTTAAAGAGGTCACTGGAGGCTTTCAGCAAGCTGTGGACCCTCACTTAATAGTAAGCTATTGCATTTGGTGATGGTTTATATAAGGCTTTCAATCTGATGGTCATTACATACCTCTGCAGACTGTGCAAGAATAAGTTCACAGTGTAGGGATTTTTCTCCTTCAGAAATGATATTACTATGTCCTCCACTAACATTCATCTGAATTCCATTTCTTGAAAATGCAAAAAAATAGTCTAGTTAGGTTTGCCTCCAATGACATGTTTTAAGTCACCAAAATAGGATTCATTTATCACAAACCATTAAGCATACATCATGTGCCAAGGATTGTATAAGGTGTTTAGCAATACAGAGAGGAATAAGAAGTAGCTTCTGTCCTCTAGGAGCTACACAGACTTGTGGCCCCAAGAGGTTGCAAACAAGTAGGGGACGCATTTTTTTTTTCCCCAAAATAATTGAGGCTAACAGTTAAAAGTTAGAAAATCTCAATAAAAATCTAGATTTATGGCTTTCTTAAAAAAAAAAAAAATCAGAGGATCTGGCCTCAGTGCATCCATATATTCTTGATGTAATAATTGGCTAGAGATAAATAGATTGGCAATCTCTGCCTTTAACTGGGTAATGCACTTTTCTCATTTGCACTCACATGCTATAGGTGTGTGAATTTACCTCACTGATGTCATTCATTTTTGTTATCTGAGTGGCTCCTATGGGCTATGAACTAGTGTATTACACACATTCAGAAACAAACAATTATAATACATGTTAAGAAAGAGCTAAGAACCATGTGCCATCCATGCATACACACAAAGTACTTAATCTAAAAGTAAGGAAAAAGCAAGTAAGAGTCAAGGAGGATTGTGGAGAACTCCTAAAGGAGTTCTCATGGAGAAAAGTAGAGAAAATATCACATACAAGAATCCAAAAGGAAAGAGTAGGACACATTCGCAGAAGTGCATGTAGTGCAGGAGGCAAGTAATAGAGAACAGAGGCGCAAAAGAGAAGGCTGGACAGGGCTTGATCCATACTCACAGGATGACTTCCTGCTGCAAGTGCTTTAACTCATGAGCCAGGTTATTTTTATCCTCTCGTAAATTCTGGAATCACATGCAACATTAGGCTGTACATGTCACTCCAGAGAAGAATTTATGTTTATATTTAACAACCCCACTTTACAAGCTGTGAGATTACTATGATATACCTCTATAATGGTTCTGTATTCTATGATGGTTGACTTAAGTTCTTCTATACTTAAATCTTTCTGAAAAAATAGAAGACACAATTAACAGCAAGAAATGAATGGGTCCACCACATCATACTGATTAGACAGTATCAATCTGAGCTGAAGAAGAATTGTGCATACCAAGTCACCTTGAGACTTTCTACCAAACTCATGATTTGAAAATTGAGCCAGTCAGTGTCTGTGATGAAAACTACACAAGAAATGGGTGAAATACAGGCTAGTATATCTAATTGGTTTCATGATGTTCAATGTTTTCCTGGTCCAGTGGCATTCAATCATGAAAGTGATTCTTAATCCCAAGTCAAAACTATAATTATCATGATTCATTTGAAAAAACATAATCTTTACCTGCAAATACCCAGTGAATTATTAAGGCACCCAATTTCATCCAGTTTATTCTATACTTATGTTAAAACCATAGCTTTGTGCTATAAGACCAGAGCTGTGGCTGGTGTCTGATCCATAATTTTATACCATGACTAGCATGGTGCCTGGCAAATGAGAGGTACTCAATGAATACCTAGTGAATGCTGGGCAGAAATACAGAGTTCTGGAAAAACCACAGTTACAGAGGAACTGAAGTAGTCAGCACTACCATAATGTTACATGCAGGCAGACAACACCCAAGATGAAGAGACAAACTTAGGCCAAGACTGTCTCCTTTGAAACTCCCTAACTTGCAGAAAAAGGAAAATAAAGTGAAAAATATTGTTTTCCCTCACTTCTTTATCTTGGAATATGGAAGCTTATTAACATAAGCTGTTACTCCTGTGTCTCTTAAAGCCACCATAACCAGAATCTCAGTAGCCAGTATCCTTTGTTACCAGATAGACTACAATCACAGGAAACAAAGATAAATAGATTTTTTTCTTTTTTTCCTATCTTTGACTGCTAACCAGAAGGGTGGCAGTTCAAACCCACCCGCCACTCCTTGGAAGGAAGCCTGGGCAATCTACTTCCATAGACATACTGCCTCAGAAACTCAAGGAGGGGTCACTGTGAGTTGGAACCAACTTGATGGCAGTGAATTTGGTTTTGGTTTGGTACCCACCTATCATTTAATTAACTTTTTGTCTATCTACAAAACTAGGTAGCAAGTAATTTGCGGATATATTCTAAATCACAAAAGCATTGGTTACACACTTATTTGTGTTGTTATTAATGTAAACTTTATCACCTGTATCTAGCCAATATCTGGTAAGCTGGTACACTAATATTTGTTACATAAATGAATGAACAGCACCAGAATTTTGAATGTTAAAACTTATCCCAAATGGAGAAGCTAGTATCCTTCACTCAGAAGAAAAACATTTTTATGAAGTTCTATAAGCTAAAGTCTTATGAAAGAATATTAGAATCATATAATTTAATAGACATCAAGTTATACATGTGACTCTCCTTTATGATTTGGAAAGAGCTCGCCTTCATAGGAAGGCTTCAGACCCTCGTAGGAAGGGATAGTACCAACCTTCTGCAATTTTGCATCTTTATTAAGCAAAGTGCTCTCATATGTATGTAACTGCATCTGAAAAGAAACAAATTTAGGAAAGACCATTGGGATTTTGTTTTGGAGGACAGTGACACAAATTCAGTCCAGTATAGGAGATATGTCTCTGAAGCACCTTTAACATGCACATGTTTTTCACTTCTCAAAGAATTTTCACACCTAGCCTCACAACAACTCTATGGGTAGGTGTTATCACCCTCATTTTACCAATGAGGAAACTGGAGCTCAGCACTATTTAGAACTTGCCCAATGTCATACACAATTAAGTGACAGAGCTGAGCCTAGAAGGTAAGTCTACAGCTCCAACCAGCAACATTTTCAAGTATTTAGCACTTCATATAGTAAAAGGATGTATAGTGTTTTCCCTTTTCTAGTGAAAATGAAAATCTAGAAAGGACATGAACATAACCTCTAGATGAACATAGAGAAGACTCTCTTTTCTTTGAAGGTATAACTTAAAAACATTCAAGATTTCTTGTAGCAGAGTAAATATTAAGGATACACCCATTTTATTCAAACCCCAAACAAGCTGTTGGCACATAATTCTGAATGTAATTGATAAATATGTATATTGACCAAATTGAAAATCTGGAAAAATAATTAGCATAGTTAGAAGTAGAAGCATTATCATAATCATATGTATTTGATACACCTGTAAATCTACTTAGGAGCTCTCATGCTGTAGTGCCTAAGGCATTTGACTGCTAATTAGAAGGCTGGCAGTTCAAACCCACCAGCCACTCCTTGGAAGGAAAACTGGGCAATCTACTTCCATAGAAACCCAAGGAGGGGTTGCTGTGAGTTGGACTCGATGGCAGTGAGTTTGGGGTTTTTTTTTGTTTGTTTGTTTGCTTGTTTATAAGTCTACTTGATGGCAACGTGTTTATTTATTTTATTTTTAATTTTATAGTTCTAGAGATATTGTCACATAATCATCTCATTTGAGTTTCCCAACAAGCTTGTGGAATAGGTAGGAAATGTCATATCCACATAGTAGATGATAAAATGGAGACTTAAAGATATTAACTACTTTTTTGAGCTTATAAAGCCTTTGAGTAGAGAAGACAGGGGCTGAACCAGTTTCTTCTGGCTCTTTCTACTAATTTATCATAGTTATATTTTCCAATGATAGCTATTCTTAATAAAAAACTAATTTTAATGTCTAAGTTGTGACTTATAATACACACATGCACATGAAATTTGGGTTTCTACTAAGAAACTTGAAAAATTCACATATAGACATGAAATTTAATTATATCTTTTAAAACATATGTCACCACAAAAACATTACTCAGATAAAACCATTAGAGACAATAATCATCATCCTCTAATGAATTTATTAATAACTCTCTTATGTTTTCTAATAAGAATCTATGAAAGATGTTAT